TTCACACTTCCTAACACGGTTGTGTTTGTCTACGAAGATGATGCCTCAAGTTCCCAGCTGCATGGATAGCACTTATTAGCCTTATCTTCAAAAATATTTAATCTAAACTTAAAATAAAATTAAAAACTGTGCAGAGGACACCTCTCAGGAAAACACAATCACTTTATCACTTCACATGAGTTCCAACAGATTAAATTCTGTTCCAGAAAAGTGTAAGCTATAATATGCAGTGTTTTCTTATATTTATCTTTGGGAAAGAATATCAAGCACCTTATTTTCTATTTCTTAGATAAAGAACTACATTACAGTGACGGGATAAGGAAGGTAAGAATAATCACATCGACATCCTCACTAACGGTGCCAATTACTTAACATTGTACTTACCGCTTCTGCATCATGCTCAAGTCCAATGTCATGGTGCTCCCGTTCATCATCCCGAAATTGCTTTATTATCTTTAAAAGTAGCAGTTAATTAGTAAGTCTACTTTGCAGAGAAATCAAGGCAGCTAGCATACAAAACCATATGCTGTTGACCATTGCACGCACCATCTGAGGTCCAGGTCTCTCAGAAGCTTCTCAAAGACCTGAATCTCCAATTCAGCAAGAAGGGAATTATTTACAGCATTCCCCAAACCTAAAGTTCTTTTAATATTCTCAAAAAAAGTCTTTAAAATTTAAGCTGCTGTTTAATATATCACTATAATTTTCACTGTTTCAAGAAAACCTATAACCTACACTCAGAGTCAATCATAACACTAATTAGTTTCACACATACAAATTATTCTGACAATTTAAATAATGAAATTAAGGTCCCTACCTTGCCAGATGATCAGTAAGGGTGTTTCCCTGTAAGCCAACGGGGCTTTTGTCCATTCTAGCATACTCTGAAGGACACTATTTTTCTCTTCTAATTTTCAACCGAAACAAAAAGGTTTAAAGAATTTTCTCTTGAGATGCCTGCTGATAACTAGGATTGCTTAATAGAGTGCTCAGAGTTTACAGACACCCAAGCACCGTCCCTACCCAAGAGGTTTGCATCACTTTTGGTTTCATCACTAGTCCTCCTCATATTGACACTGTGAATAACCTTGCTGCTTAGCTTTTTCTCTTTATTTTGTGCCCTCTGTTTATAGTCCTTATTTTCGGGGGTAGTATTTCCCTTGTGTACATGTCAGCAAAACCTGGGTTACTTCAGATACTACTTCCGTAACAAGAAGACACATTTGGAGTAACCAGGCTTGGCTACATGTTAAACTAAGCACAATTGAACATACTGATAGTCAGCAAAATTGGAAATGAACACGCAGACCCTAAAGCAGGCTCCCACCAAACAGCACAAACAAGCTCGATACGCTGCATGTGGAAACAGGTCAGTCTCTCACAAGCACCCTACAGGAATGTGTCCCAATTTAATGCCTAAAATACTTGGGAAATAATTTTCTTGCCAAACTAACAAACATTAGGCTCCTTACATGCTCTGAACAATATTCAGGACTAGAACTTGAACGGGGTGCTGGCTGACAGCAGGCTCAATGTGAGTCAGCAGTGTGCCCTGGCAGCCAAGAGGGCAAACCGCATCCTGGGGTGCATCAAACACAGCATAACCAGCTGGTCAAAAGAGGCGATTATCCCGCTGCGTTTAGCGCTGGTGCGGCCTCACCTCGAGTGCTGTGTGCAGTTCTGGGCCCCACAATTTAAGAAGGATGTGAAGGTCCTTGAACGCGTCCAGAGGAGGGCAACAAAGCTGGTGAAAGGGCTGGAAGGCATGTCCTATGAGGAGCGGCTGAGGACTCTGGGCTTGTCTAGTTTGGAGAAAAGGAGGCTGAGGGGCGACCTCATTGCTCTCTACAGCTTCCTGAGGAGGGGACGTGGAGAGGGAGGTGCTGGTCTCTTCTCCCTGGTATCCAGTGACAGGATGCGTGGGAATGGTTCAAAGCTGCGCCAGGGGAGGTTTAGACTTGACATTAGGAAGCATTTATTTACCGAGAGGGTGGTCAAACACTGGAAGAGGCTTCCTAGAGAGGTGGCCGATGCCTCAAGCCTCTCAGTGTTTAAGAGGCCTTTGGACAATGCCCTTAATAACATGCTTTAACTTTTGGTCAGCCCTGAATTGGTCAGGCAGTTGGACTAGATGATCGCTGTAGGTCCCTTCCAACTGAAATATTCTAACTACATAATCATATCCAGTACAAGCAAAAAGTTACTAAGCAATCATATTTTCTCCTTTTGTTTCCCCTCTAAACCCTTCCTTTCAATTAAAGGTAATCAAAATTAAAGCATAGTTCTCCCAATCAAAAAGGAAATGCTGAATTACTGAAAGCATGCTGAAGCTAACCCAACGTACATTTTAATTTCAGTGCTTAATCAATCTAGTGCTGCTGAAGGAAAAAACATCCTTTTACTTAAAAGAAACTTAAAGTTTCTGTTGACTTCAGCATTCTAAGTGATAGAACAAAGAGAGATCTACTGTAAATTCTATGACCATATTATTTTAAAAGACTAAAGTCACACTAGATAATTCAATGAATACGTTAAAACTACTCTTTAAGTCATAGTTAAATACCTGCAATAGTTCTTTGTACTTTTCTGGATCTTCTTCCATAAGGGTTCGGATCTGGCTATTGTAGTGATCCGATATACTCTCTTCCACTGCCACTGTGCAAGCCATTGCACCTTTCTTTCCAAGTAAAGCACTTCCAGCCCCTGCGATTGTGGTACCAAACATATACAAACAATAAAATCTGAAGCAATACAAATAATTTACACATTTGAAGACTTCACAAAACAACAACAATAATAATACAGACTCACCTAAAACAAAACCTGCTACGTTCCAAAAAGGCAATAAAACAGTAGGTCGAACTCTGTATGCAACCATTAGTTCATCGAACTTTTTCAGGTGGTCTTTTTCTTGATTCCACATTTGCTGCAAAAGAACCAGATCACAGTATAGTATAAAACCAGAAAAAGTAAACGCTTCCAATAAAACTAATAAACACAGAGGAAAACAACCCAGCTCAGGCCACTCACACTTTGACTGCAGAGGTAACACTATTCACATCACAAAGAGGAAACGTTCAGGAAGGATAGTTATAAAAAGGCAACATAAAAACATTTGCAAGGTAAGAGTCTTTGTGACAGTACTACAGCAACTGTAGTGTCGGTAACTCCCTTACCAAGTAATCCCACCACTCTTGATAAACCCACGTTTAAACGTGTTTCGAAAGAGATGGACAGCTATCTGACTATGAAAGCTACGATCTTACACCTTCATTCGACCATTGCTAATCAAGTGCAAATTGACCAGAAACACAGCGATCGCTTTTAGCTCCACTAACCCGGATAATCGGTCCCGCACTCGATCTACCCAAGACGGCCATTTGCCCCGCATAAATGCGATTCGCCCCGTACTCCCCGGCGTGGTCCACCCGGATGATGCGGTCTAGGACGGGCTTGTTGATGCCCTCCAGAGCGACGCGCGTGCTGCAAAGCCTGAGGGAAACCCCTCCGGCGGGCAGAGGCCATCTCCCCCGGAGACCTGCCGGAGAGACAAAGGTGACGCGAGCTCCGCCGCCGCCCAGCCCCCGGACGAG